GTATCCAGGGCTGGTGCTTCCCAGTGTGGGCTAGCACAGACAGGGCAGGCTGTGTCAGTGGTGTGGACAGGGGTGCACAGGACAGCAAGAAAGATTTAGCCTAGACAACAAAATTAGATTTGTTCCTCAGAAGGCTACACTCTTTCTTCCTTTTCAAAGCATGACAGGGCATTTCACACACTGCACTTCCAGGTTGAACTAGACTTACCTACATATATACACATACATGCACCTGTCTTGAAATAAAGGTTGAAACAATTCCGTTCCTGAGATTAATTACTTGAGGGACTGACAGTCCTTGTGAATAAGTTTCCATATTGTCAGCTTCTGTTTGTATCTGGAGATTCCCTTTCTCCATGAGATTAAAATTCTCTTTGATAGGGAAAACATTAATTTTTGTTACTGGGGCTGCTAAGGCTTTGTAGAAGTTCATAGGTAGTGCTGGAGTCACATCTTACAGCTCTGTTCAAACAGGTCAGTGCTCTGAGGGTTTAGGTCACCCTTGAAGCTGGAAGTGTTGAAGTGCAAGGCTGAACTAGGTAGTTTCTGGAGAAAATCCCTAACTCCAGAGAGACAACACATTCCACTTCCTGAGTTCACTGTCACTGAAATGGCACCTCGTGGGCTGTCTGTCCTTCACAAGACTCTTCATGAGACCCATTTCACAGGACAGAGTCATCAGCCAGGGATTACTGACCCTCTGTTAAAGCAATCTCCCCCACTGCTGTGTGTTATATTTAACACATGCTACTGCATAAACTACAGAGGTGGCCACTGTGTACTCCTTCTCATCTCTCTCCTCTTTCCTGCTCTCCCCACTCACATAAAACAAAAGTCAGGGTGACAAAGCTGATGTAAGAGCCATGACCATCCCTGGGGAAGGAGCTGACCTTGCTCTTCCCACCACAGCTCTTGCTCTCCAGCTGAGAAGAAACTACTGAAGGTGACACAGAGCAGATGGAGGCCGCTTCTTTTTACAGGAAGTGATGGGAAACACTTAATTTACAGTCCATTTCGCATCCATGGAAAACTCACCTAATATCTACCACAAATGGTTATCAGCAATGAGGGATAACGAGCCATTATGTGGTTTTTAGACACCACATACATTTCGTCAGCCAGCATGAGTCATGGCTATTGCCTTTCAGCTTCACTAGTGAGAGAAAAAAAGAAAGCTGGAGTGTGCTTGGCAAAGTGCAGTTGATTTCCACTGCTGTCCAGCTTGGACAACAGAAAACCAGGAATTCAGTTTCCTTATTCAGCTGTCAAAATGGGAAAGTATGAACATAGAATCCAACAGTCTCTGGCAGTAACTAGTTGGGAAGGTTTTACTTAATAGACCTTCCTCGGCAGCATCTGTAACTTCAGAGCTGTTCTCTGAGCTGACAGTCAGTTATTATTTTCCAAGGGATCCAGACCGGCCCCAGGGATGTGGCAGTCCATCAAATTAAGCAAACTGAGCAACACTCACTGAAGACTGGGAGAAGGGGAGTTGGTGCCAGGCCAGAAAGGGACAGTGGCAAGAGATCAGCAGAAGGATTTATCGTTGTTTGCAGCCTTGTATGCCCTAAGGCCAGGGAGGATCAGAGAGCTTATTACTCAGCTCTCTAAGTGGATGAGAAAAGCTATAAAGGGTTGGCAGCCTGGGCAAGCAGAGCTGAGGCTGAAGGCACGTCTCCCCATGGAAGTGCCAAGCAGTGAGGCAACTTGCTGGCAGCTGCTCAGCTTCCCAGGGCAGAACATACCCTGGTGTCACCCCACATGGTGACATGATTCCACCAGGAAGCAGGAGCCCAAGGAATAGAAAACCCACAGGCCAGGGCAAGAGGGGTCAGTGGGGCTGGCTGTTGTGTCCCAGGGGGACAAGGATGTGTGGCACAGAGCCCAGGCAAGCACAGGGAAGGAGAGCTCAGGAGAGATGCAGTGCTTGTAGCAGGTTCGTGGACTGACTGTGCTTAGGACTTTGGGACCACAGTGTAGGACAGTTGGAAGGTAGGACAAAGGGAGTGTTTCTCCTGTGAGCCCACTCTCAGCGAACCAAACCTCTGCAAACACCTAATCACAGCCACTGCCTCCTCAAACCCACTTCCTCCTCTTAATGTAAAGTCTTGCACAATTACTTTTTAAATGACAGCTGCTCTGTAATATTGTTCACCTCTTACTGACACGAGGTTGCCCCAGGGAGATCACAAGCCCCAGCTGTTCACATGCACAAACACTCTCCCTTTCCTGGGCCTGCCTTTTCTCCTGCCTCTGCAGTTTGTGGGGGTTGGTTGCCCATGCTGTTCTTTGGTGGCCAGCAAAGGCACAGGGTGCTGAGCTGGACCTCTGGCCAAGGTGCTTGGATGGTCTGTCAGTGCTCAAAGAGTAAACAGGATAAGGTTTGGGGCAAGACAAAACTCGATGTGATGTGAGCACAGGTGTACTTTCTTAATAGTTGCTTTCATTGTTTGCTTCAGGGCAAAATTCACACCTATTTACTGGCAATCCAGAGACCTGTTTCATGTATTTATAAAGACGGTACCGAACATATTGCAAGGATAAAGATTTAACCCAGCATAGGATCTGATTCATAAAGTATACAGCAGCCTTATCATTTCATCACCAAATACATTCCTGAGATGATATCACTGGTGTTATCTCATAGAGTTCAAAAGACTCACTTTCCTTTGTCTTGTTTTGGTAATTTAAGGTTTCTATTACTGGCAGTGTCTGCTTATTTGGCTTACTGTCACCAGCACAGAAAGTTAGCAGGGTATATACATCCAATGGGGACAAAGAGATGAAATTTGGTTTCTGACTTTTTTAGCAGTTATTTGCAGCATTTTGAAACATCAGTTGACCTGTTCCTCCCTTCATCACTTCCCATAAGAGCCAGAAACATTAACAAACCTGCCAACAAGAAACTTCTTCAATGTGTGCTAGGTTAATGGCTGGACTTGATGGTCTGAAAGGTCTTTTTCAACCTGAACAATTCTATTATTCTACATGTTCCACTCTTGACAATGCGAAGGACTAACTCTGGTGGCTGTTCACCTGCTCTGAAAAGCCTCAGGTCATGCATTATCTCCAGCAGTATCCACGCCTTACAAGAAAAGGTTTGCTACAGGTTGCAGGAGAAACTTCTCACCACATCCCAATTGGTTTCGACAACTTGAGTCATCTCCCACATATTCCTTGCCTTATGCTTGATTCTTTTTACAAGAAGTGTCCTTTCTAGAAGCAGGGGCAGGTGCTGCCTTCCCATGCCAGTGCTTCATGGCCCATGTGCCAAATCCTGATGTTTGCACTGACTGTGCAGTCACAGACACAGCCAGAGACCTCACCTGCCCTGTTGCAGAAAGCAGCCAGGACTCCTCCTTGCTGATGTGGGTACAGTCACATACACCTTCACCTCTTGCCTGGCTTTGCAAAAATAACAGCAAAGAAACAGATAGAGAGAGATAACATTCCACTGAGCCTTCAGACTTTCACAGGTAACTATACACAGCTTGGACCAGACAAGCTGTGGCCATCAGCAGGAACTGTGCAGGAGAGGATGATCTGTGCTGGACACAAATCACTGGTATCAAGAAGCACAATACTCCAACACTACTGCATAAAGCAAGCTCTGTCAGACCAGAGAAGAGGCTGAATCAGTAATCAAAACCTGAGCATAGTGGAAACGACTGGTGCTAAATAATTAACATCTCCTTAACAATGTTTCACATTGTAAGCACAGCTGATCAAAAAAGCACAAAGAGACAAAATCACCAAAAAAGAACTCTGTAGCCACAGTCAGGTGGAGAGGTGGGCAAAGCACAAGGCAGGATAGCTGTCTGAGGCTGAAAACATTCACAAACAGCTCAAAAGAGGTACCTCGCCTGCAGGAACACAGGCAGAGGGCACCCAGCAGGGAAAGGTCTGAGGGGTCTTCAAGCAGCTTGTGAAGGTGGCTTTTTGGAGAGACAAGCAGCTCCTCCACATGTGTTGAGGTGCAAGCTCTTCACCTGCAGATGAACATTCCTCTCTGTAGCTGAGAGCAGCCCACACATTGCTGGCTGGCACTGCTCCTGCACACTAACTCCCTGGGACAGAGCCCAGGAAAGCCACACACACAGACCACATACAGTAAGAGCAGTGAGCACTGTAATTAGCCCTGGAAGGCTTCCAGGAAGGACATGCAGGCCAGGTCAGTGTCTTGGCTTATCAGTACCCCAAGTGCTAAATCATATGGTGTTAGGAGCGACTGTAATGCAAATTACTACACCTAATACTAAGAAGATGTAAACCCTTTTAAATAAGAATAATTTTGATTTAAAAAAAAAAGTTAGCTTAGTCAGAGAATATAGTCATAAGTTGTAACAAAACCAGTTCTCTCAAGTCATGAAAAATGCTCAGATAATAATCTGTTGAGGGTCATCTGCAGAAGAACATTTATTAATGTTCTTCATTGAGCTGTGATACCTGTCAGATGTCTCACTTATGCATCTTTTCCTTGGGCCTAAGGCTGTACTACAATCCCACTCCGAGGGAAACATTTTCTGGCCTTATAATTCTGGAGCATAACTCTGAAAGAGCAGCTTTGCCTGTGCCAGCTCTATCGAGAAACCAGCACTATCTGATCCCTGGGGCCCCAATGGCGTGTTTTTCTTCCTTGCCCTGTTTCGCACTCCCTGTCCCAGGCTGAGCACAGTGACTCAGCTCTTGAGGTCCGAAACTTTGTTTTTCTCCTTCTCCTCCTGACCATGATCATCAACAGCAGGAGTATGCTAAAATACTTCAAATGAAAGTATATTCAGTATCGTTCTTGCAACACTTTTACACTTGCACTTTCTCCAAACCCAGAAAACTGCAAAAACTAATTAAGACAGATTAAGTAGGGATTGTGGTTACGAATATTGTGTCACAATTTTTGAGCACTTTTGGTACTTAGGATCATCCATGTCAGCTTAGCCATTCCTAAGTCTGTTCTGCAATGCTTGCGTACCCCACAAACACACACACAGATGTGCCAGGTATATCACCCATTCCTCACAGCTCCTTTAATACCAACTTTAGCCCATGACAAGGCATATGAAGTCAGGAACGTGGTGGGAAAATCAGCCTCAGGCGCAGACTCACAGTTGGTTTGAAACGGACCTGAATTGCTGCAGTGGTTTTCCACAGCTTGAAATACCAGACCAACCACTGGGGGGTTGCAGGAATCACTCTGACACTGTTCAAATGATGGAGAGTTTTGCTTGCTGCTCTGGTCACAGCCAGCCAAGTGATGAATGCAGCAAGAGGTAACACAGAAAGGCAATGGGCAGAAGTCACCCTTGGACTGGCATGAAGGCGGGTCCCCATCAAGCACACGGCTCAGACAGCAGCCGTGACCACTTCACACACGTGCTGCCACAGCCCTTGGCTCTGCTTGTGGTTGGACTCGGGTCTTCAGCACTGATTAATCTGTGAACAGCAAAGCAGTGCTTGAGACAGGCACTCAGAGATTTAAAGGCCCATATTGACACCACTGCTCCTGAACAGCATGTTGGGGGAGAGCCAAGGGGTACTTGTCCCGTTTTGGGACAGCATACCAGGTCCACTCCTGGCCATCTTCATGTGGCCTCAGCTGGAAACATCCCCTCTCACTGAGCTTTGTGACACCACAGATGTCCCCACAAAGTATGATTCTGCCTGACAAAGTGACTTTCTACACAACTCACTGCCTTGCTGCCTATGCAGAATTGGATATGCCCCTGCTTAGGGATCAGTCATATCACATCAGTTGTTAATGTGGACCTGGTTTTGGTGCTTAATCAAAAAAGGGCCTAAAGCAAAATTCATGAAGGATGTCCCACCCATCACAACCTTTCAACTGAGGTTGGGATCTCTCTGGCTTGTTCTCCCTGTCCCATCACTTTTCGTGGTGACACAAGCACAACAGGAAGGTTGCAGCTGGCTGTCATGCAGCAATCAGAGAGGCCTTATTGTGGGTGCAAGTCTTATCCCAGGCTGAACGATGCCTGCTGCTTTTCTTCCACATCAGAGTAAATCACCATGAAACAGCAGGCAACATCACTAGCAGAATTCAGGTTTTGCCTGATTTTTCAAATTTCCCTGGGAATGAAGGTTTTGGTGATTTCCCTTCTTCATCTACATAGCACCAGGACTTGAGCAGGGTGAGGAGAAACAGGCATTTTCTGAGAACAGGCACACTGAATCATGTCAGGATGAGAAAATTAGCTGCTCAGAGAACTTCAGGCTGCATAGAGAGGCTTCTAATTACAGTACATCCCAATAAGCTTTGGTGGTTTTGGGGGAAAAAGATGCATGGGATATCCCTACTTTTATGAGGTCTGGATTTCACCTGATGTGCTGGCAGTTGGTGTACACATGGTGAGTGGCAGCTCCTATGGGTGGCGGAAACATCTGAATCTTTGTAAACCAAGTAACAACTCTGTGGGTGTGGGAGCTCCCAAGGGATTGCATCATAGCAGGGGCAAGAGGCCATGCCACAGCCCTGCAAGGCTGCCCTGCCATCACAAGATCCTTCTTGCACCAGTTTCCTGGGATGCCCTGAAGCCAGAACATTTGCAAACAGAAAAATACACCTTCTTTCTGGTTTCACCTTCGCCACCTGCTCCTCCCCTCCTTGCCCTCAACTTGGAAGAGCGCTGTGTCACGTAACATCATCCCACCGGGTGCTGGGTGGCCAGATGAGATCTGTCATCAATCTACCCACTTCTGTGAGCTCATAAATGACAACTCACTTAGTCAAGAGAAGCAGGAAAGGAAGTTTCAGTTCTTTTACCAGGGGACACTGGAGGGAGAGGCTTCCGAATGAGGCTGGTAATTAAACAGGGATGCAACAGGTGCCAACTGGTAATGCTAGCTGGATTACCAGTTCCTGGGCTGGGCAGAAAACCTTGCCATGGCTACAAAACTGACTGAAATCTTGATTTTTCCTCTGGCTGAGCCTCAATCAGCTTTTCCGTTCTAATAGTAAATAGACAAGGCAGACAAGTAAATAGAGAGGGTCAGCTTTCACTTTCAACCCTCCACGCACCAGTGGGGTGTGAAACATCGGGTAAACTGCAGTTCAACTGCTGGCTGTATTCCATCAGGAGCTCTTCTTGGGGAATTGCCTTGTTTTCCCAGCTCCCTACCAAAACAAACTCACTCATGCCTGTGTCATGGTAGGGGCATGCAGAAGCCAAGCATAGGCTGCTGTAATTGCAGTCACAGAGGAAAAGGGTGATTAAATTAAGAGTTTGACTGATCACCCGTTTGGCACTCCCAACACATATCGTTTTTACCCTTCTCTCCCACCAACAAAACTCTGCAAGCTGAAACCTACCAAATAAGAGCCTGAGGGAAATTACAGTGTACCTTTCCTGGGGTTGAACTGCAGGACAAACCTGTTCCTGCTGCTTGCACACCCATGCTGGAGCTTGTCAATACTAACACCTCCAAAATGTCAGCCATCAGATGGCCATAGACACAGCAGCTCCCAGCATACCCAGACAATGTGTAATTCAGATGTTTAAATCCCTGCTGGAGTCCTGACACACTGAGCTGCAGAGCTGAGGATCAGTTCAGGTGGGATTACAAGGATGATTACAGCAACAGGTCAAGAGAAGCAACGGAGGAGGTGATGGAGAGAGGGGCCTAGGACTCTGTAAGAGGGAGACGATCCTGATAGCAGGAAGAGGGTCGGTGTGCTGGTCTCTGAGCAGGGGTTTGAGCACACAGAATGTGGCATTATGCTTTTGAAAGGTCCACCCACAGGTTGGGTTTTAGGAAAAGGTTGGTGACTGTCCTTAATCTGAGCAAACTTTGATTTGGATGAAAATCCCTTAATTTTTGCCAAACCCACCGAACTACTTTGAAAGCAATTCGGTAGTTGAATAAAGTCAGATGAAAGGTTGGACTGAATCACATTAACGTAATTTGGATTCAAATGAGAGCAGACACATTCCCACGGGCAGTAAGTTTCTGTTGATTCCTTTCAAGATTGTTTCCATGTCTCATGTTGAAATAAGGCTTCATTTCAACAATAACAGTATTTGTTTCAAAACTAAACAAATAAGAGATCATATCAGCAACACAAAACATTTCATACCATTATGACTGAACTTCTAACATTTTTGTCTGCAAGAAGGAACAGATGTTTTTCCTTTTTGATCTTTACAGATTTTTAGTCAATTATTAAAACAGACAGTCATACACTTGCAGGGAAGTTTTTCAAGGAAGCTTTGGGGCCTGCCCAGGACGTTTCCCAGGTGACAGGAAGTCTGTGTAAGTAAGCTCAAACCTTGGGAGCTTCGCAGTGATAATGCAAGAGGGAGTTGGAGGAATGAATTTTTTTCTTTGCTTCTGATCCAGTCTGAGGACAACTCATGTTTTTCTAAACCTTGCTGGAGACAGCAGAAACAGAGGCTCAGCTCTAGGAAGACAAAAGCAAATGTGTGGAGATGGTAGGCAGCAACCCAGCTCGGCGGGGAGGCTGTGATGTGTTGGATGACAGAACTGGTTGAGCCTCGGGCCAGTGCTCAGGCATCACTTTCCTGGATTCTTGGCAAGTGTGAAAGGGGAAGGGACTGCCTTGGGTGTGTGTGGATTGCCAGCCTGCTTTCCTTATGGTATTTCCATCCTGCTCGCCTTCCTCTTGACGGAGCTCAGAAACCATCTGCCAAGTAAGAGTGAGAAGGAAACTCCTGCAGAGGAACTTTTGTCCCGGAGCCATGGGGTGCAGCCCCGTGGGTTCACAAACTGCCAAGTTGAAACAGTTCATAGCAGGAGAGCTCATTGCTGCTGTGGGTCCCGGCCCACCAGTCAGGCCAGCCAGGGGCTGGTCATGGTGTCTCAGGCGCCGGTCACAGGCGCGTGCATGCTGTCCCCAGGGAGCAGAGGCAGGACGAGGAACGTGTGCCTGACGTGTGCCTGCTCAAGCCTGAGGTCCTCTTGGAGCATGTTTGTGGGTGCGTGGGCCGCAGCACAGCGTGACTGCTGTTGCAGCAGGCATTTATGATGCTGCTTGCTCACCACAAACCGCACAGAAGGCGCTTTTTGCTCTTCCAAGTGGCTCAATGCTACAAATTCCAAATAACATCCTGCACTGGGATATCCTCAGCAGTAGCATAGAGCTTTGGTAACTCCTTTCTCCAAAGTTTTTTCTCCACCAGATCCCCCCTTTTTTCCTGGGATCAAGAATGGTCAGAGGGGAAAGGTGCACCCTGAGCTGCGTCACTCCAGAAAGACCAAAGAGCACCCTGCAGCTGCAGGACCCCACATGGACCCCCAGAGCCACAAGTATCAGGAGGATGAGATGGGATTGATGCTCCTCACAAAGAGAGCTCAGTTAGAAGTGAGCATCCTATTAAATGAACAGATAACGGGTTTAAATGGAAAACAAGGACTTTGAAGTTTTTTTCACGCAATAGGCAAATAACCTGTGGAAGTCATTGCCATGAGAGGAAGTTAAAAGTTTGGATAGGCTCAGAAAGCAGCAGATTCACACATGAGAAATGCTTCACAAACTGCTGAAAAAAAAAAGAAACAAAATACACAGCAGTCCTGGTGTCTAAGGCAGGATACCACACTTGGATAGGCCTTTGAGCCCACTCAGCTTGACCACTGTTACACAAGGCTGAATGGAAAGGTTAAACACTTCAAAAAACGGGTAGCCAGAGCTTAGTACCCAAACCACAGCACATCCAATCCAGGCTGCCTCCCCTGGATGCCTGCATGCCCTGTGTGGGCAGGCTTGCTGTGGTGTGCCAGGGCTGGCTGCTCTGCCAGAGGAAGAAATCCCCTCTTGCAAAGTGCATGTGATCAAGAGTTGTGAGAGGCAGCACTGGAGATGCTGATGACACAGCCCTAGCTCCATCATAGGGCAACTGCTCTTCAAATGCAGGGAGGAAATAAAACTGGTACTTGATGATGCAATGTGAAGAAAGTCAGGAGGGGTAAACTTTAAAAATATCCATGTGAAAGACTATGAGAATACAATTAGAACGGCCACTTTGGAGCAACACTGTGGGGAGCAGGGATAGCCTAGGGCAGGGATGGGCAGTGCAGGGGCTGAGGGCTTCACCCCACAGCTGGGCTCTGCTCACTGGGAGGTGCTGGGGAAGGCAGGACATGCCTCTCACATGCCCTGCCTGGCTTACGCTGCACAGCACACTGACTGCTGAGCTAACGAGCAGCCCTGCCAAGGTTGTCAGAGCCAGGTCTCTTGGCAGGCTGGCCCAGAACAGACACACAGCTGCAATCTCTGTGACAGCAACAGCAGGGCCATAGTTTGGTTTTACCAGTGAAGGGAGAAGCAGAGAGAGGCAAGCTGCCAGACTCTGATGCGATGGGAATTACTGAGCTGTAAGTCTTTCTGAAGGATAAGAAGGAAGAAAATTTTAATGTTGTGATGCGAGCCTCCCAGCTCTGGGCAGCAGAAGAACCATGCCAAGGTTTCACAGCTTTCAGGGAAATATCTTCTTTCCCATCCCAGTAATCTGACTAAACAAACAGCACTTAATTTTCCTGAAGCAATTTGTAAGACAAGTAAAAAAGCTGAATGAGGTAACAACTGCTCTTTTTCCTCCACTTATCCCTCGGCTTTGTGCCACAACATGCTCTGGGTATGCCAATCTGCCCAAGGGCTATCCCACACACTCCACAGCATGCCCAAGAGCTTGGTAATTTCACACAAAACCTGAATTCCATCCTTCTGTACACAAACTCCCACTACATACTTGTCCCATGCCAGAAGCATCTGGAATTTGCACAGAGGAACCATGTTCTGCTGTTGCACAAACAGTATGTGAAAGAAAAGACAAAAAGCAAAACAAAACAAAAAAACCCCAACTAATCAACAAAAACCAACCACCACCACCAACATAAATGGGACTGAAGTAAATCCGTCCACACCAATAACCTGACCACTCTGTTCACAGAAATCCCCACAGCTTCAGTAATGCATATGGACCAAGCTGATATTGTAGAACAGAATCATAAAGGCTTAGGTTGGAAGGGACCTTTAAAGGCTATCTAGTCCAATCCCCCTGCAATGTGCAGGGACATTGTCAATTAAAGCAGGTTGCTCAAAGCCCCACTCAGCCTGACCTTCAGTGTTCCCAGGTATGGGACCACCACCTCTCTGGGCAACCTGTTCCCACATTTCACCACTCTCGTTGTAAAACATTTCTGTCATATATCTAGTCTGAACTGATCTTCTTTTAGTTTTAAACTGGGAGGGCAGTGATTTTAAACTGTTACCCCTTGTCCTGTCACTACAGGCCCTACTAAAATGTCTGTCCTCACTTTTCTTACAAACCCCTTTAAAAAGTACCGAAAGACTACAATGAGGTCTCCCTGAAGCCTCCCACTCTCCAGGTTGAACAACCTCAACT